AGCTAGCCAATGATAAAACTCTATGGGGAGAGTAAAGGTTTGGGTGAACTCTGAAAAATTAGTCTTTTGTTCATTGAAAGACACTGTTAAGAAATGAAAGAACAAGTCATAGGACTTGTGGTCAGACTAGATACAGAATAACTACAGTCCAACAATAAAAAGGAAAACAACCAATTGTTTAAACAGGCAAATACTTGAATAGACATCACAAGAGAGGTTTGTGTCGTGAGAAAGATACTCCTTTAATAAAAACATACCTATAAGCATGCATGCATGTTCACATACACACACCACATAAAAAGATGCTCAAGATCATCAGTTACTAAGTGCAAATTAAAATCAGGTGACTGAAGACCCACCGTTTCTGAAACTTCCTACCACAGAACCAGCCAGCATAGAGGCTTCTGCATCTGGCTGCATCTGGCCTCGTAAAGGAGCCTAGCCAGAAGGTGCACCCACCTCCCTGTACACATGAGACAGCAGACTCGCTCCATTGTCTAAATTCTTTGTCTGTATACAGTGAATGATAAAAAGAGAAATGGAAATACTAATTGGCCCTTCTAAAACAAAATATGTGCCAGTTTGGAAATACCTAAATATCCCAAGAACATGATGGGCATAGAGTGATAACTTACACTTGTAGAGGTATGATTGTAAACAACACTGCCTCAGTTAACATTAAAAAAAAAAAAACTCCAAGTAAAATAACCCCCGAAACTTACCAAACGGGTGGTTCATTATTTACCAGTAATTGTTTTCAACAAGGAAACTATTTGTAAAACTAAAATGTGCACAGAACGTAATGCTATTAAATACAAGATTAAGAAATATCTGATTATTCCCTATATGAATGTATCAAGTTTTATACTTACTGTTTTATTATTGATTATTAATAAAAATATGATAAGTTTCTTATCCACTAGGAAAAAAGTTGGGAGTAGTTAGTCCTTGTTGTGCCATTTTTTTTGAAGAATGAATTTCTGATCATGCTTTAAAGAAGGTGTTAGAATTATGAAGTTCCTAATAATATATATCCTGTCAAATTTAAAGAAATAAAATATGATTACAATGGACATATCCTGGACATATCCTTAAACTGTTAATCACTTTTATCTACTTTGTGGTATGAAGTACAACGAAGAAAAAAGCTAAGATGGTAACCTCCCCATGTGAATAACCAGGTGTACTTTCTACAGCTCTCATGAATTTACAAAGGGCAGGTAGGGGCAGTTTCTCTGCCAAAACCTTTAACGGAAGAAGAGCACCAGCAAATACAAACGAAGAAGAGCACCAGCAAATACAAACGGAAGCCATCTCCTTTTGCACCATTTGCAGTTGTTCTGTATAGTTTGAAGGTGTTAATTTTTCCATACTCGCAAGTTACATGTGTATTGTTCTGGATGCTTCTTTGTCTGGCTCAAGAAATACTTCATTTAGATGCAAATGTTTATCTTGAATTTCACCTCCTGAGCTCAGTGCTAACATTTACTGAGACCTCAAGGGCTGTATTCCTGGTGGAAAAACCTCCACCAACTCATTTCATATCTGCCTCTGGGCAGTGCTAGGGGTTTATTCTGTGTCATAGTGTCATGTACACGGTCCTGGGGTCACCACAAGTGAAATCGAGGGGTGTTGGTTCTGTGAGATCTTTGCTGCTTCCATCCCCTGAAGATGCTAAGGACCTTGTTTCCAAAAATGATGAAAAATTCAAGAGTGATAAAAACAGGTGATGCTAAACTTTACATGTGGAACACAGTGGTCTGGAAAAGTGACTGTTGTTACAATAAATTTCAATACTAGAGGGATTTAGTTTTTGAAGTATTCCTGTTGTATAATTTTGAAATTTAGACTAACATAGTGAATTTTATTACGAATTTCCAAACACCTTCTTAATCTTATTATTTGAGTAGCATAGCTGGGAACAGTTGGGTAAAGCAGCATATTCAGGCTGGAGTTTCCTAACATGACAGGTAATGGGGGTCCGAGATGATCCCAGTACACCCCCCTACCCCCCCCAGCATCAGGCACCACGTGAGACCGACTCACGCAGGTCTCATCACTGCTGTTCTAAACAGTATCTGACACGTTCAGGAAACACTGCATATTAAGTTAAATTTCCAAATCTTACTTTGTAATACTGTTCTTTTCCAGCTAACGATGACTGTATACCCACATGCTGGAAAAGGGAAGGTTTATATTGAATACGAATTTGCTTGTTTCGTTCTGCACATTTTTCCTGGGGGAGAAATGAAGAGAAATAGCAATCTTCCATTAAAGCTCTAATATTTTTTATTGCACTTACTGATGGCAGAATTTGTTTTGTTTTGCCAGAGTTTTATAACAATATTTTAAAATTTAAACATTAATTTCTAGTATTTTTTTCATAAGAATAATAGAAAAGGCACACTTTTTTAAAAGGGTTTTAGATCATTATTTATATGTATGAGATATACACCATGTACATGATATGTATCTATATATGTACTTTCCTATCAGGAAAGCACATTAAAGCTGTACAAATTATAATTTTCCTCTCCTCTTTTTATTCTTATAATGCAAATGAAGTTTTTTTCCTGTCTGCCTATTTCTCTCATATCCCATTATTCTTTTTCTTCCTACATTTACCGATTCCCATGCTGAATTTTAGCCTCCTCAATTTCTTTGTAAATAGTACAAAGTACATGATTAGCATAGTAGACTGTGGTGGGAGATTATTATGGGTGTTAGGGTGGGAGTCCCATACCTGTAAATCATACGCTGTGTTGTAACCTAATATTACCTCAATAAGAATGTATATCATAAATAAAGAGCTAATAGTATACTTACTGATTCTACAAAATGGGAAAGAATACGGACAGTTTCTTTAAAAATAAGGACGTGGCCGGCGACACCACTATTAGAGATGGACATTTGAAATCATGATTGATTTGAGAATTTTTTTATATACTAACAGAAAACTCACACATACACATCTCAAGTTTATAAACATAAAGATTCCTCAATATAGCAGCTTTATTTAAATGTATTTATACTTAGTACTGACACAAGGAAATACTATATAAAACGATTATTTTTATAACTATAATTAAATGATAGAATTAATTTGATGCCTGGATTTATACCTTCTATTTTATTATCACCTTTTCTGTTTGTTCACCTTTTTTCCTGCTTTTCACTGCACCTTTGGTCTCCATTACTTTATTTAGTAGGAGTAAGAGTCGGTAAAAACTTAGAATGTGGAAAATTAAGATTCACCAAGTTTGGTTAGGTAAACAAATTTTAGTTAATTGTATTAAAAAGATAATATTTTCCTAAAGTAATCAGTATTACAAAGTAAAAATATACTCACAGGTGTTTCTCCTGGATTACACATCTTTACCTGAAAAATGTCCCCCAAAAGTAAATCTATAGGTTTGTCTTTGTAGAACATTAAAAAAAAATGCACAAAGTCAGGTAAGTCCTCAGATTTAAATAGCTTTCCTAAGGAGAAAAAGAAAATGTGTCCAAGTCAGCCTGGAGTGTGTACACCATATATCATAATATAATCTTTATGCATAGTTGTTCATTCCAGGAAAAGAGCAAAAAAAAATATATATATATATATGTTATCCCTTAGAAGTAAACTTAAGCATTAATGAAGCTGAAGCAAAAAAAAAGGCAAAATAATATATGTGTTTTAGTATTAATGATTACTATTAGAAATAGATCCATCGCTTACCTATAAACCCAAGAACTGAAAACTCAATATAAAGCCAATTACTTGAGAAGATATTATGTACAAAGTCTGTGATTTTTGTAAGGTACATCTTTTTAGCTATAATATCATCTTCTAGCTGGAAATAAAGCAAAAAGGCATTAGTACCTTTTATGCATCCATTCAGTAAGTTAAATCTGTATCAAGGTAATTTTATTTTTAGTTCAATTAACTGTAGTACTTAGGTTATTCAATTTTTACTTCCTGATTCTGAAGACAAGGATTTTTTTTTCTCTCCTAAAGACTAATATCTATCATCCAGTCTAAATCTTCTTTGGAAGTGTCTCTTAGCTGCATCCATTTTCATCCTCACATATCTCCCCGTGTCTGGTCTGGGACCAGCTGGCCCTATGCTTAGGTGACGGGTGCCTTGTTCTACTGCTTGGCATTTTCTGGCAGAGATGACAAAGGGAACAGACCCTTTTGCCCACAACCAGGTGGTCAGATTGATGGTGCGAAGAAATCCCCATAGTTCTCCATAATAGGGGCAAGCGGTGGAAACCGTCAACAGCATTTTCTTTTTTACTTAATGTATATTATGTGCAATCTCTTGAGTAAGGAGGTCCCTGAGTGGCTCAGGAAAATGTGCATGACAGCAAGCATCCGGCCAGAGCATAAAACAGAACATCACTATCTCCCTGGGAGAGGATGTGACCTGTCTCCTACTTCCACTGCATCATCGTGACTAGGGAGGGAAAGTCATTTTCCTTTTTCCTCCAGTTCAAGGATGTACTTCAAGGGAGCATCTTGCTTCAGGCCTTATTCTAACTCCTTCTGTTCTCCAAGGATAGTCTGCAAGCTCTTTTCACAGCTGCATATGGTCTTACAGACTGAGGGAGGAACTTACTGTTGGCAACACTATCATAATAACAACCGATTTGACAATACTCAGGAATGTGGAGGTACAAGCTCCTATAACTGACCTACTCTACACATGCAGCTAGGCACTACAGAACTGAGTTACCCATAAAATGAGGGGCGAGACAGGGCAGCCAAGATGAGCAGGCACACTCTGTCATAGAGCACGTGCTCAAAATAGGTCTGCTTAATAAACTGGGCAAAGACATGTAAGTGATGCCATTTCTATTATAAGTTGAGAATTTCTTTCTAGTCTTCTGATAACTATAATTTCTTCTGCAAGAAGACTGAGATATAGTCATGTTTTAGCTTCCTGTTAGCCTTTTTACATGTTTTCTTAGTACAAATACAGGTATTGGAAGACCATGAGGAAGCAAGGAATCAAAGGAAGGTGGAAGAACATGAAATGATGCAAACGTCATTCTCACCTGTAGATAATACCTGGCCTTGGGTTGGGCGTACAGCATCAAAAAACAAAAATCCAATACTTGTTTGGTTCGCCATCTGAATGATAAAGTCTGTTAATACCTGTCTTTATTATTTCATTCCTATTTATAAACACACTCCAGTCATTAAAGAACCAAACTTTTAAATACACTTTACTAATATAGAATGCCGCCCACATTAACCAAAACTAAGCAGGTTATAAACAGCTGTCCTAAGAAGTCTCTCATCTTTGTTCAGTGGACCGTGTCTGCCACCGCTAAAATAGCAATAAAATAAAATTTTATGTTTTGGTTAGTTTAATTCTGATCTATATAATAAAGTAAATAGTCTCACTGAGCGTAGGTGTTTTGCTCAAATGGAAGTACACAGAAAGCTTAATTCAATCCTCAGCTAAAAAGGCCTCTTCCTGAAGACACAAAGAGTCTTGCCCTGCTGAGCCCCCTAACCTAGTAGGAAAAGAGAAAACTAATGTGATTGGAACCATGAGACAAGAGCCTTGTAGAACAGTGGCAACGGGAACTTCCAGTGAGGTGGGGAGAGTGGGTCGGAGGAGGCAGACTTCCTGGGTGATGGCTCAGTGCTGCAAAGGCACAAACCTGCCCCAGCACACGTGGCTTTAGGCTTAGAGCAGACATAGCTGATGGAAGAGAAGGCGCAGATGGGAAGCTGGCAGGCACCAGAACATGAGGGCACAGCCAGGAAACCCTGGACTTGATTTCACAGAAGGATTCTTCTGTTACTGCGTAGAGAAGAGAGAGAACAGAGGGGAGGCCGGGCTAGGGCTCAGAACAGCAAATAGACCTTAAAGGCCTGATTCAAAACCAAAGCAGAGGGATGGGGGTGAGGTGATGAGAGGAATGAGGTGGGGAGACCTAAAATAAGAGCAGACGTCAGAGCAGAGGGAAAAACAGGATCTATGACCTCACCCATCTCCCGGCTTTACAACTGGAAAAGGTTTACGACTGGGGGAGTTGGAGCTTCACGACCAAAGGGAGAGCGAAACATCTCAGAAGATTCCAGATTCGGACCTTTTTTTTTTTTAAACAAAACAGAGCTTATGAGTTTCCTGCTGACTAGACTTTGCTGGTGATCACGGTGTACTGATGTCATAGTGATCAGAGTACTGATGTCAATTATAACGCTGGGCACTGAAACCTGTGTAATGTTATAAACCGATATCTCCGCAATGAAAATTTATTTTAAAAATGTTTCCTGGGATAACACCCTTCTCTGAAATATGATGTCTATTTGTTTAAGTTTGCAGAACCAAGGCGTTTTGTTTCTTGTGCTACCTCTCACTTCTACAATCAACCAATGATAATCTTTTTCTACGTAGAGATTGTAATTTCTCAAACCTCTTTCAAAAATACGAAGTTTTTTATTCTCACAATTAATTTTCACTTGTAATATGTATATTTTATTACATGCACAGGAAAGGTTGTGGAAATCAAGGGGAAAAAAGATTACATTGCCCACCTAGGAAGACCAGAAAGCAGGAGAGCTGAGGCTGGAAGCCAGGTAATGGCGTATGACCCAGGCTGACTGTCTCCCTTCACTATGCCGTTGCTAACTGCTGCCTGGAAATCTGAACACAGAGCAGAGGTGGTGTCTGATGGTGGCGCAACCGCACCCCTGAGCTGTGAGGGGCGAAGGAGCCCTGGTTGTAGCTCCTATCGCCATGGTGTCAATGCTCCAAGTGGCTGTTTTCATGCTACCACTATGTCCCTCAACACAAAGCCAGGGAGCCAGGGAGTCAACGGGGACTGGCGCTGTGTGAACAGCGGGCACCCCCATTTCATCAGGAGAAGCTAGTTGCTGCAAGGACACGACTTGGTCATACATTACCTCTTTAATTTCTCAGAGTCCTTGGCTGCCGACGCGGCATGTAACATGCTCGGATAAAAAATGGCAGGTATAGAAATGACCTCCAAAGATCCAGCCCTCAGTTGCTGTTTGAATCTATCAATGGAAGTGAAGGGAGGATTGTAATTGAGTATTTGATTTCCCAAAATAATACTAATCCTTAACAAGAATCCCTTTGGCATGGCCACATAATATTTTACATATATAAAACTTTTTCTTAGTCTAAGGAACATGCGTTTACGTACTATGTGACTCAGAGGCACAGGGTCACATCTCCTCAGACTCTAGTCACACCCACGAAGGTACCCACAGTCCACCCCGGTCTACAGGGCTCCTCCCCGCAAGGTCCACCCTCCCCTTCCTTGGTCTGTAGCCTTGATTTTGATTTACATTGTTCCACATACTGATACAAATCAACATCATAAAACTAGTATTTTTTAGCCAGTATTTCATTTGTGAGTTAGTGGTGGATATATAAAAAAATCAACATATACAATACAAAACAGTAAAACTATAGGTACTTTTATTTTTTAACATTTACAACCAGATAGGTACTCTGACAACTCCAAAACAATGGAGTGAATGAGTTAGGATAATAGGTAGCTGCAAAGAGCAAGATCAGCTAGTTTTGCTTTAAGGGCCTAATTCTGAGCTTAACAATGTTCTCCTGAATGGCAATGCCAGCTAGCATTAAGTGTGACTCTTGTCACAACCCATTGGAGGACAATGACCTCTTTAGAATCTTTATTTTTAAAATTCAGTGTGTATGTACCACTGTGGGCTCATCGAATGCCTCTGATGCTGCCTACGAAAGCTGCAAGGTGCATCTTGTGCCATTTAAGTAGAAGGTAGGAGCATTTTAAACCACACACGTTGCTTGCTGAGCCTGATATGCCAGTTGGACTGTCCCCATGAACATGGAGACTTGGGACACTGGCTGGGTGTGAAATGGAACCTACTGGAGCCACCGGGTGCTCACTCGGTAAACACCGTCACTCTGGTTCCCAGAGAAGTGCGCACTTGTCTGCGAGGGAAACTAAGCAGGACAAGGGGCGAGAACGTCTTAAAGAGAACCCAGGTGGCTTTGCCCAGAAGCAGGGGACTTCATGGAGAATAGACATTCTGATAATAGTGACATGACAAGAAGAACTTTAACAGTGGACAGACTGCATAAGGAGGGGAAGCGACAAGCCATGTCAGTCACCCCCACAGTGCAGAACAGCGAAGAGCAGTAAAAAGAACAAGATCAGGAACAAAACTGATCATACAGCTGGATGAAACAAGTAGGAATAGAAAAATGAAAGATCAGCTACTTTAAAATGTATTCGGTGGTACTTACTTTTTGGTAACCATGTCAACAACAGATTTTAAATAATCTTCATTACTCTAAAATGAGAAAGAATTATGTGAAACTAAGTGTGCCTCATGGCTTTCCTAAAAACATTTTGCCACATGTAAATCTAGGTACAGAAGGTAATTACATCTGAATATTTTTTAGAGTTTTTAAGTAGGAAAGAATTCAAAATGTCTCATTTTCACTTTGTCACAGTATGAGATATCAGCACACATTATTAACATTAAAAAATTAGTATGCAAAATCTCATGTATCAGAAAGCCTTGTTCCTAGAAGATGACTGTCTTATTTCAAAGGCTGGTTCTTTTTTTAGATGTCTACTTTTTTTTTTTTGTAAAGATTTATTTATTTATTCATATAGAACTGGGGTACAGGCCAGAGATGCGGAGGGTGAGAGGATTCACCAGAGACAGACTGGGGAGCAGAACAGGCAGATCAAGAAGTACACTGCAGCGGGCAGGTCAGAAGAGATCTGCAGCGCCATCTGGTCACCTCCGGGGCAGGAGGGAATCGAATTCATGCGGAAGTGGCTTTAGCTTCTCAGTGCTGCGCTTTAACCCGCTGCGCCACCAGGGAGGGCCAATGTCTTCATTTTATGAGAATCATCTCCCAGAAAGTTTACTCCAAAAGCTATACCACATTCCCCAATAAGATTCTGAAATTACTTTGAACAAGGACAGTTCTACGGTGAACTTTGGTAGTACCTTGGCAATTCTGATTGCATCTAGTTAGGTGTCTGTTTAAACACAGAAGTTATGGGCCCCTCTTGGTGATGCAGTGTGTTAAAGCGAGGCACTATGAAGCAAGCCGCAGTCACTTCACATGAGTTTGATTCCCGGTCAGGGAGTGACCCACAGGGTGCTGCACACTTCTCCTGTCTCCCTGCTGCTCCCTTCAGCAATGTACGCCATCAATCGCCCTGTTCTTCTCCTCACTCAGTCTCTGGTGAATCCTCTCACCCCTGCACCTCTGGCCTGTACCCCAGTTCTATATGCATAGATAAATACATCTTTAAAAAATATGTCAGTTATGATGCAGAACCATCTCCTATGGTACTAAAGGTTCTGGAAAGAATCATAAATGGAATCACTAGTTCTTTGTTAAGCACAGAAACATGAACAATACTAAAGTCATTTTTTAATTAAGCATTTTATATTCCACTTAAAATTTTAAAATTTGTCTACCAATACTTTATGATTAGTTTAGATACGTTAAGTAGATAGATGTTCTTTGTGTGAGCGGCCCAGCTAGTAAAGACTGTACAATGTAACACACCAGATGTGGCGGATGAGTGGAGTGTATGGAGAGCCTCCACAGCAAAGAACTAAACTCGAAGAGAATGACTGTTTAGCCTTTTGTTTATGTTTTTCTATTAGTTTCCCATGGCTTGAGATTTTTTGGGGGGGAGCATTCAAAGACAAGATTCTTACTGGAAGTTCTAACAATAAAGAAAAAAAGGAGGAGAACAATGATCTAATTCTGGACATCCAGAGATAACCTTATTTCTATTTTGGAGACCATTTTTCCAAAGTTTGTGCATTCTCTTTTTCTTTCTATATGTCATTTTCTATTTTTTTAATTTTTCCTTTCTACTTTCATCTTTTTATCACATTTATACACTGTTGTGGTGAACATGATGTTTTACAGCTTATCTCACTCAACAATATGACACAGACATCACTTTGTGTCAATGACTATAGATACTCATTTGCCTTTCAGTGGTTACAGGTGTTTGCCACAGAGAGCGAAGTCTTCCATGGGCCTCTTCTGGATGGATATTTGGGTTGTCTGGAGATATTAGAAACACACTGAAACCATCTGTAATAATTTTTTGCTGAACACTTACGAGGAGTCACACTTCTTCCTCAGCTACCCCACAACATGGAGGTCTCAGCACCACTGTCGCACAGGTAAGGATGGTGAAGTAAAGAGCAGTTATGTAACTCGCTCAAGTTCACAAGCCAGGAGGAGAAGCTGGCATTCCAGCCTCAGTGACCTGGATCCAGAGCTTGTGTTCTCGACTACCAGGAGTTCTGTCATATTTTTATTATTCTGTTATTCTTGTCTGATCATCTCCCAGGGTTATTCCTGATGCAAAGGATATACATATTGAAAATGGGGTAGATGTTGCCAAATTCCCCTCCAAAAGGTCTTATTTATATAGAACGTTAGAGTTTGATGTGTCCTCAGAGGCAAAGGGGAAAGCCTGGGTCCGCGAGAGACGTGTAGATGCAAGTCTGCTCTACTTATCAGACAAGTTACTCATTTTCTTTCAGCTCCAGAGTCATCATGTGTGAGGTCGGCTGCTTCCCAGGATGTAAATGCTGATTATAAGTAATTCAGGTAAAAATCAGATATAGGAAGGGGCTCCTCAATTCATGGTATGTGGCTTGACAGAAATCAGCTCTCCGTTCCCAGTCCAGCCTTTAACTGGGCTGGGCGGGTTTTCTCATGCAGCTTCAACTGCGCGGTTGAGTTGTTTCTAATTTCCGAGGCAGCCCCAGGTCACTGAACGTCAGTGTCGCTATCTGACAGGTGGTGGGAGGGACTGTGAACGCAGGTGACATGCAATCTTGTTTCTCCACGTGGAACCATCATTGTTTTCTGTTTAGAGTTACATATTCCCTGTTGGAAGTGGCTGACGTGTATATTGGGTGTTATCCAAGGTTGGGGAGGAGGAGGCGTCTTTGAATTGCTTTTTTAAATTGAAGAGAAAAATGCTAAATGATTCCAGGATTTCCACAGAGGAGGAAGGGGATCGGGCACAAGGGAGAGGGGACAGTTACTGGTTTGTCACACTTACATCGGCCACGGAGATGATCACCACGGAGTCCTTCTGTTCTGAGCGAGTCATCCTGGAGAGGAGGGAGGTCAGGGTTTGCTTCAGGTACCTGCAATCGCCTCTGTTCACAGTGGGAATACCTAGCGCAAAAGAAACTGCAGACACAGGGGAATGGGCGTCATTTCAATCCACAGACCAACTCAACTCAGCGCTGAGCCCCCCGGGAGAGCTGTACAGTCAGAGAGTGTGTTTCACCTACGTGGATGCGATGCGTCCACTGGCTGGCGCCTACACTTCTTCCTGAAGAGATGCTGGGACATGATGTAGGAAAAATACTATGAAATATTTTCATCAGTAAAAACCCTGCTGAGTGATTTCTGTACTTCAGGGCAGACAGACGAGGCTGTGGGCTGCTGCTCGGCCCCCTGGCCCCACTCACCGCATGAACAGGCAGTGGCTGTCCCGAGCCTGCTACATTGCTTCTGACTCAAATACTTTTCCTTGTCCTGAATTCCCGCTAAACTTGAACTCAGCTTTCCAGGCTTAGTTCAAACATCCCGTGGTCTGAAAAGCTTTTGTTGCTTTAGTAACCGAAAAAAGTTGGGGAGATCAGAAGATAACTACCTAACAGATTGGCCAGAACCAAGGGAGGAAAGAGTTGCCAAGCTCTTAGCAGATGCTTCTGATAAGTTTGACTTAAGCTGACTTTTGAATTTCAAAACACCTGTATTAAAACAGAATTTCATTTCAAATGGGTATTGAACTATATTTTTCTGGCAGACAATATGCTGACTTCGAGTAATCCAAATTAATGCCAAATAGACCCGGGGTCTATATCTCAATTTAAGTATCATATAAGTGGATTGCATTTAAAATTTAAAAGCTTGTCCCCCAAGGTAGAGAGGCAAATCAATAAAATTTGAGGAAAAAAACAACAAAGAATGAAGCATCTGCATTTGATCTTCCAACTCCAAGTTTTCTTACCTCCTGCTTTCTCTTTGCCAATTATTACATCAGGATAAATTCTGCCTATCTTCCTTAGATGAGGGAAAAACAACTTTAAGACTTCAAATGTATCAGGTACTGTTTCATTCTTAGCCAATATATTCTTCTTAGCTGAAAAAGAGAGAAAACAGGGTTTGAGTTCATGACTCCAGGGATAATTCTGCCTTTGGCATAATTTTTCTTAAGTGAGGGTTAATGCATTAATTCACAGATTTAGTATTCAATATGAGAAATATTACGAAATGTAAATTACTGAATTCATAAACTGTCAAAAAAGTTCACAGATTATTTACATTTAATTAAAAGTAATAGCACTATGAGCTACACAACTAGAAGCAGAAATATCAGTTCCAAAGGAAGAAGTTTAAGCAAAACACACAAAATGGTCCAGTCTTCTCCTTTAATAAATGTCGCATCGGTAACATCTACATCTTCATTACTTGATCTTGCAACCTCTCAACACGTAGAGACTCCATCTGTACCATCATTTGAATTTGCCTCTACAATTTTGAAAAAGAACGATGGAAATCTCATCCTACCCAAGTTAGCACAAGGCAGTGTGGCAGTACAGAGAAAAGTGGACACGTAGATGAAATCAGAAGATTCAGAACCTGCTGATAAAGGAAGAGAAGGCAGGACATTTTATGCTGGAGAAATGGAGAGCCACGAAGGCTGACACACGGGTCAGACAGCCTCTGCACGGGCTCCAGAGAGAAGAGGCAGGACTGGCGAGGGGAGGCAGGTGTGTCTCCGCATCGAGCAGGGGAGGCCTGAGCCCTTCCCAGGGCGTGGAGAAGGTGTTGACAAAGGTGGACAGGGCAGTGGGGTCACACGGGGTGAGGAGACAGGATGCTGAAAGGCTGGCATGGCAGCGGGGTGGGGGGCGGACATTCACCTCCTGGCTGCAGCTAGGGGGAGGGCGTTGGGGAGTCGCAAGCCACAGGCACAGAAAGACGACGGCGCTGGAGTGAGTGGGAAGAGTGGGAGGCTGCAGTCACGCCTCTACCTGATTTTTGCCCCTACCTCGTATGTCCTGCAATCAGAAGGCAACATGCAAAACAAATTATAAAACAAACCCACCATCCCTTACAAACCTGAATTTACTGTTACACCTTTCTGTGAAGTTTCATTCTTCATTACTTTCAAGGTTTTCATCAGTTCTTGGAGGTTATTTTCAGTTTTATTTTTCAAAACGAGCATATTTTCCTTAAATTCCAAGATATGTTTCCTACAGTTAGTTAATTGATTACCTGCAAAGACAGCATTATGTGTAAGTTTGTGCACGCAGCAATGGTATGACACAATTCTCTATCATACAGTGTGTGAAAGATACAGTTCAATACAGCTATTACAGGCGTAATGCACCATGCATGTGTAGACAGAGTGCTAGACACGTGCAGTCAGTGTTCAAACAGAACTATCTGAAGGGGGTTTCAATGGTTTTTGCTTATGTTGTGCATGTCTATCTTTTCCCAAATCTTCCTTTCTGCATATGTACTAGTTTTGCCATCAGAGAAACCAGCAATGTGCTCTAAGAATGTATCTACAGAAAACGATCATAACTACGTACACTGAGTTGACTCTCAAGCATGTTCAATAGAGGGAGCAATTTCATCATTGTAAATCAGGGGCCACCCAAGTGCTCCAGAATAAGAACTACGTTAAATAAATTACAGGACATACTTGGAAGCACTCCTAGTGGTTCTTGTGTAAGTCACATATCATCAAAACCTAGTTTTGCCACTGCATAGCCATATAATCTTGGGGAAGCTATTTAGCTTTGGCTGGCTTCTGTTCCCTGTTCCCTCTTGCCTAAAGGGATATAGAAGACTCCTGCCTCAGGCCCTCCCTGGTGGTGCAGCGGGTTAAAGCACAGCTGGCTGCAGCGAGATCCATCCCTACCCCAGAGCTGACCCGCATGGTGTAGCAGACCACTCCTGACCCTCCCGCTGCTCCCCTCAGCAGTGTGCTTCGTCCATCTGCCTGTTCTGCTCCCCACTCTGACTGTGGTGAAGCCTCTCATCAAGTCTGGCATGTACCCCGTGAATAAATAAATCTTTTTTTTTTTAAAGGCTCCACCTCAGAGGAGCTGGAAGAAGTGATATGTATGCAAGAGTACATATGCCTTGTCAGGTGTCTACATCGACCATTTATCAATGGCTCCTCTGTGTTCATGTACCAGTGATACCACACAGTGAGGAAAACAACCTTGGAGAAGAATAAAGACGTGAACGCAATTTAAAAAAAAAAAGCAATATAAAATAATTACATTCTTGCCCTGAAGTACCATGACTTTAGCTCTGCACTGTCCTGCTGATGGGGGCTCATGCTTCTGATGGGGTGACGAGGAGGGAGCACAACCGGAGGAGGTCTGGGAGAGACAGGAGAAGGAGGCTCAGGGACAGAGCAGTGCAGCCTTTTGGGGAAGTTTTGCAGTAAGAGTGGGGAGGAGAGTGGGGTCGAGATGGGAGTGGGGTCGAGGGAGAATTCTTTATTTTTCTTTTCAGGATGGGCGAGAAACAGCATGTCTGGGTCCAGGGAAAGGGAAAAACTGATGATATGTGCAGGAGGGGCCCGGGGAGGGTGCTGGATGGAAGCACAGGTCACAGCTTCAATAATGATGTGGGTTGCCTGTAAACACGGGGCACCAGTGGCCCCAACTAAGGCAGGCCTAGAATCCACAGAGTCTAGGGAAAATCTCTTGTTGCTTCTATTTCTCAGTGAAAAGGGGAACGCAGTCATCAGCTGAGAATGAGGGTGGAGAACTAGTTACTGAAAGCTTGGAGTGTATGAAATTGCTTTCCAGGAAAGAAGGAGGATGGAGATTAGCTGGAGTCTTAAAAGGGTCACAAAACAGAGAGCAAGGCAGAAGGGAAACTTCCCTTTAACCACTCAGGTGTGGCTTTATTCCTGTTTACACTCTCTGCCTTCTTCAAGCAGTTTCCCTGTGAGACAGGAGCGACTCCTACAACCTAAGCCCCTGCACCTACAAGGTCTGGCAGATGGCCTGATCACCTGACAATCCTCCTTCCACCTCCCAGAGGTAGAATTTACAGCCCGCCACGCAGCCTGACTCCTCAGCTATGGCTTAGCCTTGACTGGACCATGTGGTCAAGCGGCATTCAATGTGACCAGGAGAAGCTGGACGCACTATGGACCCCACACTTGGAGGGAAAGGTTAGGTGAACCTCATGCTCGGAGGGAAGGGTGTTTCTCCCTTGCTCTTTTTATCCATCCTCTGGGAGAATGTGGATGGGCGTGACCTGGCCTGGATCTTGCAAATGAAGACAATACCCCAGAGATGGAGTAACAGATTGGATGGAACCCAGCACTTCAAATGAGGTAAGGGAACAGTTCATTATGCAAATGTCCAACCAGGTGCCTGGTGGCTATCTGTTAACACCACTGAAGTTGCATCTAAGAGATCCAAAGGAACCACAAGATGGCCCAGAGAAACGGAGAATATAGTCTTTTCCACCTTGGTTACTTTGATTTGATATTTGAACATCTGATTAGAGAAGCAATACATAGGTTAAAATCTTAGCAAAAGACACAAAAAAGGAAAAAATATACTGCGATCCTGCTACCTGAAAATAACCACTATAAGTGTTTTGTTGTATGTGGTTGGGGACTTTTATTTAACTTCCCCTCTTCCCTTTTGTACTGAAACCTGTGATGAAAACATATAACCTATGATGGAAACAGTTTGTTGTTGCTGAGTCAAACAAATAACAAAATATATGCAAAAAATCTGCTAGAGACACAAGGCTATGAAAAAATTCTATTTCAATTAGCAGGGCAAGCACAGGCATTGGCTAATGATTTAGGTGGAATAAAAGATAAATCAGCAGCTTGGAAGGCAATACATTACGGCTGGATTTTTTTTTTAAATTAAGGTAAAATAGAAACCTATAAAGCCACATGATGCCTTTGGGTTTAAACATTTAGTGTCTCCACTTTTACAAACACAACTGTGTTCAGTGCTGACAAAACTGGATAATACCATTTCCCGGTCCCAAACTCTACAGGGATGTCTCATCACGCAGAGAAACAATCAAGTCCCCTTTCCAAGAGGGAGCCCCTCAGCCAGGCCTTGATGACCCCTCCAAGCTGGAAGCTGGCCACTCAGGCCCCCACCTCACCCAGACCTCAGCTCCTGCCTCCTGGGCCTACTACCTGAGCCTTGCAGGCACTGCTCTCCTGCCTGAGGGCTTTGGTTCTTCCAAGCTTCTCAGCAGGGAATGCCCAGCCCCACCTCCAGACACCGCCCAGCAGCCCGGTGATGCCTCCCTGGAGGTCCCAGGAGAGACCCTGCGACCGCTTTCCCTTTACTCTTTCATTTCCCAAATCCCTCACCACTACCCTGCTTCTTGCGTATTTACTCTCTTCATGTCTCTCTCCAGAGCTCTCTAGAATGTACACTTGAGATTAGAAAGAACTTTGATTTTCCTTAGCACTCAGTTCCCAGAGCCTACAGCAGGACCTGGCCACAGATCCCTGCAGGGGCATCCGACTGACCACAGAGACGCAGTAGCAGGACTGGCTAGGTGGCACTGATGAGTGATTCCTGCCCCAGCCATGCCTTAATCAAAGAGCTGCACTGTCCCAGGTAAACCTGGCACCATCAGAGTGGAGACTATCTAACAAGGCTTACGGGTTTTTGCAGGGATGTCATTCACGCAGTACAGCCCTAGGTTATCAGGGGTCCCCCCTAATGTTCTCTACAAAAGGAGTCCTGTGAGCTTGGAGTCGATGTGTCATGGGTGATGCAACCTGTCGGGCTTCCACACGCAAGCCAGTCCCAGGGGAGCCGCGTGGTAAACACAAAAAGAAAGGATTCTCTCTAGAGGAAGAAGTATTTTCAGAAACAATCCTACAGAAAGGCTACAAGATAGGATCGCTAGTCTTAGACCTGCAACTCGTAGATTCTTCATTAGTCTTCAATTCATTAATATTCTAGTTACAATCTTTTTATGACTTGCATATCCACACAGATGCTTTGTGAGGATGAAATGTTGTAAAACTGTTTTCACAAAGGTTTGAAATAATAATCCAATGCTTTGAGGCAATTGTTACATGGTTGTGTGGAAAACCCATGTGCGCACTGGCCAGTGAGCCACACGCTTACGTCTGGGGTCCATGTGCCTTCCCAAGAGCCACTGATCTTTGTTTCTCACAGCAGGTGTGAGGCACTGAGCTCCAGGAGAAATGAAATGCAAACCACATTTGTAATTCTGAATTTTCTAGTAGCCACATTACAAAATGGTCAAACAATACAGTGAGGTGTCACCCTATACATAGTCCTAAAAAATATAATGTTGCAACTCAATGTTTCCTCAATAAACATAATTTTAAAGCAATGAAGCCATTATAAAGAAAATATTTAATTCAACCTGTTCTTTTCCAAAATATCTTTTCCACATCTAATCAACAGGAAAATAATTAATGGAATAGCTGACATTCTTTTCTTGTACTGTGTAGTCCAAATTCTGTGTACCTTTTTACACATATGTATATCCCAACTCAGGTGCTAAGTTTGAAGGTTATAGTGGAAAGTGGAAAGTGGAAAGAAGTGTTATCAAAATGATATAGTTTAAAACAATTTTGTTTAAACTGCAGTTACACTGGTTTATAGCAGCGTATACACTCCAGGTGCACGTCCTTATAAATCAACACTTGCTAGACCACCTGAAGGTCACCAGTCAAAGTCCATGCTGCACTGTACCACTGACCCCCCTTTTCCTGGATTGCCCCCCTGGCCTCCTCCTCCCTCTGGTAACCGCTATTCTGTTCTTATAGTCCAGGAGTTTATGTTGTTTGTAAGTTTTGTTTCCTTATCTTGCACAGATGAGCTAGATCACATGGTGTTTATCATTCTCATTCTGACTTTTGTCAATTTCAGCAGTACCCCCTCTAGGGCCATCCATGGTGTTACCTAGGGGAGACTGTCTTCCACAGCTGAGCTGGGTTCCCCAGTGTATATGCACCTCAGATTGGACAGTACCAGATCGGACAGTGGCACCCCGGCATAGCAGCCAGGGTCATTAGAAACGCAGCCTCTCAGGCCTCACCCCAGCCACCCTTCATCAGCACCTGCCATTAATAAGATTCACAGGTGACTGGTGGGTGTGTTAAACGGGAAGCACCTTAACCATTAGCCCTCATTAATGGTTTAATCTTTTCTCATCATTGACTTTGCCGCAGTTCAGGCCTTTACTGCTGCCAACTGCACTATTATAATTGCCTCTTAATTGGTCTCTCACCTTCAGTCCACCATTAATCTTCTAGAAATACTGTCCAAAGCCTAAATGGTTCCCTCAATGCTTACTGAATAAAATCCAAAAGACTTGCCTTATATGCCCTGTCCTGGCTTCAATCTGCCTTTTCCACCCCATCTCATGGGCTAAAGACATCTGTTGAGTAGAAACAAGTTGAAGGTGTCACTCTTCCTGCCACTGCATACAATGTGTCACTCACAGCACCATGTGACAGGAGAACAAACAGGGATTCAGTCAGGTCCTGCTCTAAAGTAACAATCAGGCTATAGGGAAGGAGCGTAGAGTTAAACAACTCGTTGTAGTAACACATGGGTCCAAGTGGAATGATCTTCCAAGTGCCAAATGTAAAGGGATGATTAATCCTTAAGGAGGCGTGTGGGATGGGGGAGCGATGGGAGAGCGTTTGGAAAATATGAAATGTTTGAGAAATTGAAAAATGAAGACAAGTTTGCCAGACATTGAAGGGCGGGGCAGGGCGGGGTGAGGCAGGGCACTCCGGGGTGAGGCAGGGCACTCCGGACTAGGAGGGGAAGGCAAATGCAGAATGAAGCGGTGAGTGAGGCACAGAGGGGAAGACCACCCATTTTCTCAGGGTAAGAAGAAGGAAATGTATGTTTTAGATATATCATTCGTTTACTTGGACCCATTAAATAATCCCCAACTCTCACTGACAAGAATTACAACCAGAGATCAGGTTTTTGCAACCCCAAGTGGAGTCTGTTTTCTTCTGCTGATGTACAGCACATGGGGGTTGGCGTCTGATGGACTTTGGAGCAGAGTTCACTGAAACATACACAGACAATGGCAAACCTGTTAGACCCCTTTGGGGGCAGTGGGGTGTCCTCCAGGGCTACAGCTCCCTTCTGAACTGGAACAACAGGTGTGGGAACATACACACTCGCAGAACCAGCCACCTTCCAACACCTTCCCACTCCCCTTCATACACACCTAAACAACTCTAAGTAGCTCAGTCTACAGTTTCTTACTGAAAGCACTAACTATACTAAAACATCTTCTGAGATAACCATTCTAACCTGCCTTCAAAATTAACACCCAAGGCCCTCCCTGGTGGTGCAGTGGGTTAAAACTCAGCACTGCAAGCTAGTGGCAACCACTTCAGTGTGAGTTCGATCCCCGGCCCCGGAGGTGACCACATGGCCCAGCAGACCTCTCCTGACCCGCCAGCTGCCCCCTCAGCAGTGTACTTCAGTGGATCCGCCTGTTCTGTTCCTCACTCTTTCTCTGGTGAGTGAGCGTTCTCATGCCTTACACCTCTAGCCTGTTCCCAGTTCTTATATGCAGAAATAAATACATCTTAAAGCCAACATCTTTTTCCAATCTTTGAAACAAATGGGTAGAGTGTTGCTATGGAGTATGCCCAGCAAAACACAGCTTTAATGGAAGAAAAAATATAGCCACTTCCAAAAGTGACCGTCCACAAGGAGCCTCCCTGTGGTAAATGTGTTCAAGAGGGTGAAATTTAACCCCAAACAACCTGGGGCACCTTTGGAAGCCTGGGCTAGGCTTCAATTCAAAGACGGAAGGTTCCACTATGGACAACTAGGTTGAAAGGGAAAATACAGAACACATAGTTAAATTTGAATTTCATTGTGTGTGTGCGTGTTCATCTATTCCCTACAACTTTTGTACTAAAAAGATTCATGACCTGAAATGCAAATGGTACCCAGAAACTTCTTCCCTGCTCCCCTGGCGCCCCACAGGTGCAGGCAGGGAGCCCCGGGGTGTGCAGATGGACAGGCCCAGCGATCCCAAGCCCATCGCCCTTCCAAGCCTCTCGCTCTTCCTCCCCTTTTCAGCTTCCCGCAGACTAGCTTGGCAGGTGTGAGGTGAGGCCGGCGCCAGGCGCAGACCCCCCAAAGGAAAGACGTGGCCCGCGAGGGGCGTACTCCGAGGCACGCTGTCTGCGCGGCCTCTGGGCACCGGGGGAACACGCGGGAGCGCGAAGGCGCCAGAGGACCCCGGACCTCCGGGCGGGG